CCTCGTGTAATTCGAATTCGAGTGTGTTTATTTATCTTATTTTCTGTATATTTTTCTTGCCTAACCTTAACCCTTTGATCTGGGTAGTGCCCCTTGGAAGAAGAATTGGCTCCTTGGTACCCGTACTTTCTGTACTCTTCGATATTCTGTGTACCGATTCTGCACCCTCGAACATTGGGCCCTGGTACTCCTGGGCCCCGGTACCCCTGGGCCCCTGTACCCCTGGGCCCTGTTACCCTGGAACCTGTTTCCGGGGCCTGGGGCCTGTGCTGGCTCCGCACGTCTGGGTCCTTATATTCTTAATAAGGCGGGGCCTGGTGTGTGGTTGTAAATCCGCGAGGCCGGGTCGTGGTCACTCCCTCGGGGAAGTGACCAGAAACTCTCTTGCTCCCTGTTCCATTTCCCTTAAACTCTAACTTTCCCTGGCACTTCACCACAGCTGCGAATTATTGCGGCGCGTGCGCTTGGTGTTGGTCTGCATGGCCGCCTTTAAAGGCGACCGATCAGCCTTTCCACGTTTCGGTGGCTTTGTTTCTTTATTCGATGTTTTACATAATGTAAAATATCGTCTTAAGGAGGAGGATGGTGTAACGAGCTAACAGTTACACGGTTCGTTAAGGATCCGATACTTAACGGGAAGGCCTAAATGGGTACGAGGTACCTTAGGCCTGCCACTTGGGTGTGGCACCCACCCTCATGAATGTGATATCCATGGATGGATTCACATTCAACGAGGATGACGCCAGTTGGGATTGGACGTCATGGTGACGCTTCAAACAGACTTCATCAGCGAGCTTGAAATATTCTAATCTCGCACGTAAGGATACGTTTCTAAAGAGACGCGTAACCAATCTTTGCATAATTACTCAATCAGTAGTTAATCTTATATTTAGTTTAATTTCCATTAAATATAAGTCAGTCTTGAATATACTAAACATCGCACACTGCGCACGAGAAGCTGTATAAGCTTCTGTGTGTAGTAAGTGTCGCTCTTGTCTTAGCTGTTCGTTGCGCGGTTCGCTTCAAAGCGACCGGCAAAGGTTGGTACAGCGCTTCTTAGCGCGGACTAACACCACCACCACCGCATGCAGAGGTAAGACGGTATAACTGCTTCCTCGCGCTGCTTGAAGGTGTACCCGCGTAGTACGTGGCAGCTTCATTACGAAGTGCCCGTCTACTGTCGCAGACAAGTTCACCAGAATTGAAAAGACCAACCTCCTTCGTGAAACCTGCTCCCTGCTCGATGTATTCCAGTCCTCAAGCCATTTACAAATTCCTCCCGCGACCTTCAAGCTGGCATTCGCCACGCACCCATACCCAAACTACCCTTGACATGTGGCTTAAGTAGGTTTTCTCGTCCAAAATACAAGCAAAATACTCATTATATAAAGTTATATTGCCCTGTCTGACTATAACTTATATAGAACGAGTTCGGTGAACATGAAATTTGATAACCTACCGGAGGTTATAGCTTATCAGAGGATAGCGTTTTGGAGGGAGGCCTGTACTTTAAATGTCACATTTTATTAGTTGCTCAGCCCATCAGCGTCCTTTTCGTCTCGTCCAAACCTTCAGTCCATGCGTGGCTCCATTCACGCTCAGCGGGTCTTCGTCTCAGCACGAGACGCCATTTACTGTTGTCAACTCCCAATTATACCTCAAATATAGCCGTTGCCGCCTTCAAACCAGGTCCAGCGCTGATCTGAAACGACGTGGTGAAACACGTGACGCTTAACTTACTAAAGTGGCTAGTGGACGTTGTAAGGACGCTCGACCAACCGTGGTGGACTTTTAGCTAAGGTTCTTCAGTGACAACGTTTTGCGTTGTGTGGATACTGCAACATATGGACAAGGCAGCGGCTGATTACCACGTAGACATCTCGCTGCAAGGGTATAATCGGAAGCATCTTGGTCTGCAGATATTAGCTGTTCCGGCGCTTTGACAGGTTGTTTCAATGTTTTTATTTGTAGGATAATGGATGCTGAAAAAGCGCAAACCCGGAGTTGTTAATCAAGATGTAGCTTGTGAAATGTCACGAGGAGAGCCAACAAACGGCCTGGACTCCGAGGTGACAATGTATGTGGAAGTGGTTGAAAAAAAAATTGCTGGTCAGCCTTAAAAGATAAAGGAAGAGCATGTGTCAATGATAAAGATATATGCTGCACCGACAAACTGACCATAAGCTTTTTCTTTCATTTTTGATAAAGATCGTCTGTCTTTTGCTTTCTAATTATTGATCTTCGTGTAACGTTCTTAGTTGACCATTATTTAGGCGAAAGAATAGTGTGTTTCTAAACAATGACTAGCGTATAAGAAACGCAGTGTACGAGCTAGCAAATAAACAAAGCACAACTTCGATCGTGGCTGTAAATATTGGTGTCATGTAAACAACTTAAGTTTTATATTTTTTACATTACGGAAAAATTGTAGCTCGTCACATTTTCGAGAGATGCAAGTCGGTATTTGAAATCAAGTAGTCGAGTAACTCCGCAACATATCGTATGGTACATACTCTCTTTCGACACTTCATGATGAGATGAAGGCCCCTAATTTAGCCATCATCAGTGCGCAACCCGTTTTTGTTTCGATTCCTGATTCTCACACGTCGCACATGTTCATTACATTTTGCGTTGTTCACAAGACTATTCTCATATCTCATTGCTTGTATGGCTTCCTGAGATTAACATAAACAAATGACTGGCATCTGACACGTGGCAGTACATTAAACCTTACCACATTTTTCATTTTCATTTGGAAAAGCTTGGAACCTTTCGATAGCACCTCACAGAAGTTCACTTGGTTTTTCCATCCGAGCAGTTCTTTTTTTGGTGCCAAAGTCAATTTAGCTCGCCTGCTTTCACGCTGTGCCTTACTCCTCCGTGGCCGGTGTGCAACAATTGCGAGCTTACATACAATCCAATTTGAATTACAATAGATACTTTTTTCTAGTGTGTGTCTGCATTTCAAGTCATCTTCCGAATTTAGGACATTATAGTAATGCATTTCAGCATGTATGTAGTTGATACAAGAAATAAAACGGGTGCATTGTATGGCACCGCCACCACCGTATTCGTCGGGTGCCGCTGACATTACAATTACAAGTCGTTTTATACAGTAAGCGGCGTAAGCTGACCACAAGCTCATTGCAAGCGTCATACCATCCGTCATGTGCTCGCCCATACGTACAAGTCCGCCCTTCGTAGTGTGGTGTTGGCGTAGTCGCACGAATATTTGTTGCCAAGGTAGCAACCATCACCATGAAGGTTCCTTCGATGAGTACCACCCGCGTATATCGATCACCACTCTGAAATTGTGGTTAAAGTTTAACGCCTAGCACGCCTGACAAGAGGTCTCAATCAACTAAGTTTTCTTGGTTTTCCTGAGTTCCGGTCTTCATCTACGTGAAATCGCGTGTGTTGGATAAAGCACCATCCCTTATGTGTGACTACGCTAGCTTAATCTGATCGGTCTGCGTTTCAGCCTCTGAATGTTGTCACGGGACGACAAGCACGCAGCCCATACTTGTCGGTTTCTTCTTCCTACTCATTTATCAATCAGCAGGCTCTGGCTCGTACCCCTTCAATTTAGAGACCTACCAAGTTCCTTTGATGACCCCCTCGACACCCGGTCTCGCACTTGTGGCTGCAGCTTCGGCACTGTGTGCTTTCCAAGTATCAGCCCAGCAAACAGGAATCAAACACTAAGGAAGTGCATCCTTCTCTCACCTCCAAGCAATGCTCGAAGACAGGTTGCTGTGTAACCGAGCCCACGTCAATTGTGCTAGATACCAATTGGCGCTGGCTGCACCAAGTCGGCGACTACAAGAACTGCTACACCGATTCCATGTGTATTGCGTCCAAGAAACTTTTCGGTGTTTAAACGACTACGTTACGAAGAGCAAACTTGTACGTATAGGCGAGCACATGGCGAATGGTATGACGCTTGCCATGAGCTTGTGGTCAGATCATGACGCTTACTGCCTCTGGCTTGACAGCAGCTACCCCGCTGAAGCGGATTTCACGAAACTCGGACGTGTCATCAACAAGGAAGAAGTACTGCTTGCTTAACATCTGTACACCAATGACGCCATCGTCAGCACGCACACGATTACGGCACTAGAATTTTGAACGAAAGTAAAATTGAATGAAGTGTCGCGACTCTCACGTCTGGGGAGCAAGTTGAAGTGCTTCTGCTATACAACACCCAAGAAGCGTAGGTGCGCAAACTATTTCAATAAGGATTAAGACCTGGTGTGCCATGGAGGCTCAAAAAGATGGAAAGTCTTCCATCAGAAAGAGCTTTCTTGGGCATTATACTGCAAGACTGCAAGAGTTGATTCGATTTAGTGAATGGGCTGCCGACCAACTAGTGCGTGGATCCAATGTCTCCCACGCAAAATTTCATGAACTTGTGCGGCATTTGGGTGTCGCGCCTCAACTTCAGCAGGACGAACACCTGCGTCGGGCGCGAGATGACGTGATGATGACATGCAAAGTAGAAGAGACCTCTGTCAGAAATAAAAGACAGAACATCGTAGCTACTCACTTTCTTTGTCTTTGGAATCGATAGACATTTCGTAGAACCTACTCGCAGAAGGCATGACCAACCCTATCACCAGCATTCCACGACCAGCGATCGACCCTGTCTATTTAAAGCAGTGTATCTTGTCGTTCACTTGCCTTGACTATAGTCTTCCTGACATCATTCGTTTGCGTCAACGCGTCACTGCATCCTCGAGAACCCTATCCACACCAAGTCATACAAATGACAAGATTAATTCGTCAAGCTTCCGATGACATCAGCTGTACTCTGTCAAAGTACGTCAGGTCAAATATCCAGAGAAAGGGTGGAAGTACTTCAAAGCAAAGGTCCGGCGGTACTGGTGGCGTTGGCATTCCCACCCCTCAGTACTCCATTTTCAAATGGCCATTCTACAATTTCCAGTCACCTACGCCCTTGTGTCCAACAAAGCAGATTGAGTAAATTCAGATTGGCAATCATGATGTCTTTGTCACAATTTAAAAAAGAAGCCAACTGGTTTATGCTTTACTACTTGTCACTAGTGCATCTTGGTGCGTTGGAAGGTCTCCGCCGTGTCTTCTTTTGCAAATGGGAGACGCTCTTAGCCTTTGTGATTATCTACTATGTCACGGGTCTTGGAATTACCATGGGAGCTCATCGTCTATGGGCGCATCGGAGCTATAAGGCCCATGGCATTCTTCGATTCTTCCTTATGCTATGCAATTCCATGGCCAATCAGGGCACTATCTTTCATTGGACGCGTGACCATCGTGTGCATCACAAGTACTCGGATACGATAGCTGACCCACACAATTCTGGTCGTGGCTTCTTCTTTGCACACATGGGCTGGCTTCTAGTCAAGAAGGACCCACGTGTGCATGAAGCTGGTACGAAACTCAATTACGACGATCTCTGGGCTGATTGGACCGTCGTGATGCAAGAAAAGCTCAACCCATGGGGAAATCTCTTCATGTGTTTTGTCGTCCCGACTCTCGTTGGTGTCCAGGTCGCTGGAGAAGATTGGAAAAATGCCCTCTTTGTTCTCGGCTTCCTGCGCTACGTGCTTGTGCTACATGCAACGTGGCTTGTTAATAGTGCTGCCCATTTCTATGGCTATCACCCGTATGACAACACTCCACCCTCGGAGAACTGGTTTGTATCAATCTGGGCCATTGGGGAAGGCTGGCACAACTGGCACCACAAGTTCCCATACGATTACGCGACGAGCGAGTTTGGTATGACGTCACAATTCAATCCCACCAAGCTCACTATTGACATCATGGCAATGATTGGTCTAGTCACGGACCGCAAGCGTGCGACGGACATTTGGGGAAAGATCAAAGAGTCGAAGGGAAAAGGGGCAACGTTCAAGGACCCCAATGGTGATGACCCCTCCCACGCATTCTCGGAACTCAAGGCCAAAGCGAACTAATCATAAGCATGTTTGTTCATCCGAGTGTTGTTTTTCACCATAGCTAGTGTGACTTGACAAAGCAGGATGATGATATAATCGCTAACAATCTTACCTTATTGATGATCGAAGGACGTTTAAACTGATGCACTTTGGCCTAAATGCATAACAAACGTTGTTTTCATTGTAGTTCGAACAAGCAAACGACATGAAGACCTTGATTGACACGACTCACTACAAAGCATTAATCACAAGAATTCTCAGTGGACTCAAAGCCCTCGTTGTAAGCTAAGGTAACCATAAAATAGGCTGATATCTAGTCACCGTTGTCTTCGTCCTTCAAACTTTAAGAGGCACAAGAAGAAGAGCGTTATTAAGAGTGATATTTCTCACTTTTACTATACTGCGATCCCGGTGAAATGGAAGCGTAGCATAATTAAACAAGTATTGATGGATGGAACCAAAGCATTGCATTGACATCAGGCTATTTCATATACAAAGCTTGCACACGAGCCAGACCGACAACAGGTAACGCTTATCGATGACTGTCATGAAGACATGACGCCTACGCACTATCCTCGCCCTGGAACTGGTAAGTCACGTGGCACTTGCCGCAGTAGTGGCGGTCAAAGTGAGTAGCCATAAAGACACCGGCACCGCACTGAGGCGCCGGGCACTCCTTCTTCAAACGCTGGATCTTGCCATTGTCGTCCACCTTGTAGTACTTAAGCACAGCAAGTTTGACCTTACGGTGTTTGTGTTTGATCTTCTTAGGCTTCGTGTAGGTTTTTTTCTTGCGCTTCTTGCCTCCACCACGAAGACGTAGCACCAAGTGCAAGGTTGACTCCTTTTGAATGTTGTAGTCCGCTAACGTACGGCCATCCTCCAGCTGCTTACCAGCAAAGATCAGACGTTGCTGGTCCGGGGGGATTCCTGCAATAGAAAAGAGCAAACAATAAGTATCAAAGCTGCAAAAGAAACAAGAGATAGCGACGTTATATCAATATCAGACCTTCCTTGTCCTGAATTTTCTGCTTGACAGTGTCAATACTATCCGCCGATTCCACTTCGAGCGTAATGGTCTTGCCCGTAAGGGTCTTGACAAAAATCTGCATTTTCTGTTGAGTCAAAAGGGCCCCTCGTTAGTCTCATAGAGATTTTACCATCCCACGTCGGCCTTATTATAGCTACTCAGTAGACTAAAAACAATTAGAATGGCAAGAAGAGAAACTACGACGCCTTTCATGCGTCTCTTTCTCTTCTTTTTTTCTTCTTGTTTTCCTACTTTGAGTAAAAGAACCGACGCGGTGTCTTAAGCAAGAACAATCATGTAGTCATACATATACCTACGGATGAGGAGCCAATGAGAGGTCATGAAGAAAGAACCCACATTGACGCCTTATCCGATCCTTGATACACGCAGGACACTAATGATTTCATGCAAGCGACGGCTGCTTTTCTACTCAAAAATGATTTTCAATTTCAAGTTCGAGGTAAGAGGCAGGACATCACTTGGGTCGAAAGTGCTGGCGTCTCAGAACGTATGAACGAACATTGAGGATCGGGATCCGTAGGTCTTAAACGAAGAGAATAGCAAGCAACATACCGTCGGGTGGTTTCCAAATCCAAACTGGATAAAATGTCGAGCTCCTCGGCGTTGCAACTCGCCCCAGCCAGTCGATTTTAGTGCTTAAGGTTTAATAAAAACGATGTGGTTGGCTATAATATTGAATATTGTGATTGGCTTAGACGTCAAGAAGATGTGATACCTAATAATTTTATGGAAAAGAATATGATAACGGACTTGTAGGAATTAATACCGAAACGCCGCGCAATAATGACGTGTGAGCAAAGCCTAATGGAACGCACGTATTCGTAGATACGCGAGAATATCTTAGGATAACCGTAAAGGTTATTGGGAGATATACCGTTCAGAGAAGTAGATAGAGTTTGGAATAGCGTAAGAGACACACCGCTCCTAATAAGCGAGCACTAAAACGGAAGAATTCGTAGCACAGCAGGGATAGACGTGTGTTGCGTCGAAATGGTGTAAAGTTGCCTGGTACACAGCATCTTAAATACTGACACCTGCGTTCACACGTATTCATGGCCACAAGAGCTTGCAGCATCAGGTGACACTTCTTGATTTGCTAAAACAGAGAATGCGTGACATGGACTTTGCGTAACTTAATCCAGATACCAGCGACAAGCCACAGTTCCGACTTTGTATATCACCTGATGATAGCAACACGTTTGTTGCCTTTGGTGATCTTCGAGGCAGCACACAAGCGTGAAATGACTGTCAGCGAAAAGGAAAACTACGTATCAATAGCACCTTTGGAATTTCTAGTCTTGAAGAGTACAGCACTTTGAGCGGTAGATTCCATTCCAATGGCAGGTTTTGCAGCGGCTTCATTCCTTACGGTAAGAGGCACCACCCACTTCCTTACAAAAATGAAAAACTAAACGCGAATGAGCACACAAGTTTTCAATCCGAACAACTCGTCTGGCTTAAGCTTTCAGCTAGAATGACAGGTCTAGTAACCACTTGAAATGACGTAGCTACTGACTTGGAAGTCAAGTCGAGCTGGAGTTGATGGTCGAAACAGCAACTGCAAGACAAATGAAAACCCCAAAAAATTGCAAAAAATTATTAGTGCTTTAACATGTACATTCGATGCTTCCATTTCAAGGATAGATTAACATTTCTTCAGTGCGTTTGAACAACTTGGCACGACATTCGCGTCGCGAGATACTCATGGTAAAGCTCACTTGAATCTGCGATAGATGACCATATCCGGTGGGCCACTGGGCGTCGAGTAGTTGACTGCAGCTCGTGTGTCTCTGCAATACTCCGACAGCACATTCGATTCCTGTAAGATTAATGGCTGAGGCACCATCGGTGGCATCCCACCATAGCTGCTGCGTGACAGCACACTTGCTAAACTGCGGCTACTGTTTGTGTGTAGCAGGTAGTTTTGCAGCTGCCGTTGGTAGTATTCTTCGTCAAGCGGAGGCGACGACTCTTTCGCTTTCCTTACCAGCACAGACTGGCGCGGCAGCCAAAAGCTGCTCTGGGCTTGAATACCATATCTTTCTAGTGACACTTGACCCTGCCGTGCTGTCGCAGAGGCAGTAATCAAGTGAGAAGGAATTTGCTGGCGAAAACTTTGATTGTGGGCCAGCAGGCTATGTCCGGACGGGTAGCGTCCGAGTTGCAATGAGTTAAAGTGGTTGGTCGAAGCCGACCCCAAGTCCGTGGACGTGAACGACTGCAGGGACGTTCCAGCATTTGTCGACGATACCCCCGAGACGACGGATGCCGTGCCGGCACGGCGGACCTGATAGTGTTCCAACACTTCCAGCATGATACTTGCAGCAGCCATACCTCCGTCATCATTTTGATCTTCTTTCTGACCCGTAGGTGGCACATAGGCCCGCTTTTTCGGCCGAGCGCTGATAACTAGTCGGTGTTGCTGGTGTTTCTCCGATTCGCATGACGATAGCACGGAGATTGAAGACATTTCTGCATTCGTCAGCAGATCTTCTGACGCAGCAATCGACTGAAGTTGTTGTTGTAAGATCGACCCGTCCGTGATCGAGGACGCCGTCATGGTCAGACGGGAAAAAACGGGTGTCTGCTTGCGCTTTTTCGCCAGCCGCTTCAGCAAGCGAGCATTGATCGTCGCCCCGGATGGAATCACCGCGCACACACAAGATAGACAAAATGTTTCCATACACGGCCCCCCAGCAGCGCTGCCTCTATTCGGATGATAGTGAGCACAGAATATCGGCTTTATCACGCGGCATGTACGGCAACATGGTTTCCAACAGCCCCGACAGTTCCGTGGCGTATCCCAAAAGAACAGGGCACCAGCACACACACCACACCGCTGTCTGGAGCTGGTTTGATCATTGAGCGACTGTCTCTGACCTGTAAGCAGGAGCGACAAATTCTTGGCCTGGCCGCTCTGTACAGTGTTGGCCATGGACGTCAGCCACTCAGCAATGCAGTTGTCTCCCAGCACTGGCGGCAAACGGCCACCCGGATTAAATTGACCATGGGCAAACATGGTTACACGATCATCGTCTACACGCTTGAACACGATAGCCAACGAGATGAAACCTCTCACAAAGCCGTCCGTGCTGATTCCAATCGAGCTCGAACTGCGATTACGTGTCTGATGTGCTAAATTCAATGGAGGCCACGTGGCTCCCATTGGCGCATATGAGTCAAAGCTAGAAACAGCCAACTCATCAGCTAAAGGGTCAATTGAATGCAGCACCATGTAACCCATTTCTTCTCCCATATCGTCTTTAATAAGATCCATTTGCTTAAAGCACAAAAAATCCCTGTGTCTGCAAAATCCCAGTCCAGAGAGTTTGAGCGCCATCCACACAATTCCTGAGAACTGGAATGGCTTGATTTCTGTGCTCCTTTTGTCCACCTGAAGCACTCGTGCATCTAATGACCGAGGACTTAAGAGCGTCTCCAAAACCCGTGCAGTTCTCGTCGAGTCTGCATACAGACCGTTCATAACGTCTTCAAGAGACCCATGAACAGTACCAATAGCCTGTACTGTACATGTTCGTTCCTGCCGTGTCTTGTGACGATAAACTCTAATGTCACTGCTCTCCCGAAGTAATTTCCATTGTCGAGCTTCTACTGCTGCAATTTGACTAGAAACTGATGTTCTCGGCAGCTCTGATCTTGGTAAATTCAATGGATTGCGACTACGTCGTAGACGAGAACGACGATCATTCTCTTGACGCTCTCTATAGAGTCGTAGTGTTGCTTCTAGTCGTGTATTACACTGCTGGTGATAACGTCGCAGTCGAGCGACAGTGACGTCGTTAAGCGAATCAAGGAATAAGGGGCCTCGAGGCGTCGGTATTCGCAACGATTCGTCGTCTATTTCCATTGTAAAGGCAGACAAGAGTCCGTTGCTGATGGGAGGACAGCTCACGTCCACCATAACACGACGATAACGTCTTTGTTTCCAGCCTTTTTCGCACAAGTGTGACTGCCTTTGAGTGTGCAAATTCGATTGTGCGAGAAAAAAAGTAGACAGACTCGGGCGAAGGTGGTAGTGGTGACTCAGGTTCAGTATACAATTGCAAAGGGTTAGACCGTCCAAACATATCGCAGCGCTGCTTCAGCTCTATTCTACTACTCGGTATTGTATGTAATAACGCAAACAGGTAATGAAAATTTATAATCCATCGCGTAGGTGATGGAATTCTTGATATTAATTAAAGCCATTCAATCAATCTTCTTGCAGAACAATCCATTACGGACAGGATCTCATATTGTAACAAAGACTTGATGGACAAGTCTTGTACCGTACCCATCTTCTAGGCACTTGAAAGACAGCGCGAAAGGAACAGTCTGGTCGAGAAGGTGTTACAATGTGCAGTGCTATCAAGTCTAATACAACTCGACTATTGGCATTTAGCTTGACGTTTACAGCTTCAACCAACAGCTCCTTTCCAATTGCAACAGACAAATATATATACTTGACGTTCTGAATTCTTATTGAATGCTTTGCCGACCACATTCTCGAGATCTGAAAGCTGCTCTGCCGCTCTATTCCGCAGAGTTTCTCACGCTACGTACGGCTCATCTGCATTTGTTTTTGCTTTGCAGTAGCAGAATGTATACCGCTAGCGATGGCTTGCAACAGTGTGGATATTGCTACTGTAAATAGCTTCTTTTCTTTTGCCAAATATTATTATGTAGTTGAAGTGCAGAGCAACAGTTGCGTTCCGAGTGCGTAAGCTGATTTACATGCTCAAAAGTTGTGCAGAGATAACGGTAGCAACACCAACTTGAAGTCTCTTTTCGGTGCAAGTGAAATCGCCCAGTAACTAGTGGTTTTGTTGCCAATGTGTTCATTTGAGACCGTTTTGTTACAAGCTGGCGTTACGTACGCCGTGCTGCTTATTATTACAAGTTCACTTCAACTACATCATGCGAGTAATGCGATATAGAGTAGGCCTTGGATCTCTCACCACAGCTCGAATAAAGAATGGCAAACCCAGTCATCAAAGTATGAAAGATGAGTCTGCATAAATAGGTTGGAATTAATGTATTCGTCATTTATTCTTTAACGTGCTAACAGAGAGCTCTCAACATATTCACTTTCTGATGCATACGAGTATCACGTTACGATGGCCAAGTTCAAATATCATGCGATCCATTCAAAAAGCTTAATCCTACAAAACGTTAACGAGTCTGCAGCAACTGGTGTATATCGCGTCTAGAAGATCCATAGGAAACGTTTGCGTGGGAGCTGCTCCTTCAGCGTGATCTTGCGTTTCTCGAGCGCCGCAATTTCCTCGTCCACTTCATCAATATCGCGTCCTGCGTACTTGGATTTCTCTAGCGCCACCTGCTGGGTGCAAATCTCTTCAATCTCCAGTTGTAACTCCTTCTCAGAGTTCACCGGCTTCTTGTTCTTTTTCAGCTGCGCAGCAGCACTACCCCACGTTACACGAGGAGCTGGCGGCCAAGCTTCCTGTGCAGTCGGTACCGACACATTGCCGTCCTTTTCACCCTCATCTTTCTCAACAAAAGTGATAGTAACTACCCGGTCTTTCTCCGGATGCGCCGACTGCTTGAGCGCCAGTGCTTCAATTTCCTCCTGAGTGGCCGAGCCAGACATCTCCAGCTGCACCTTCTGACGCGACTGTAGCTCTGCCACTACCGTCACCGCTACAATACACAACAATCACGAATCAAAATCTTCATCATGCACTCCATATCAGCTCTATAGAGCTTTAATACCTCACGTACTCTCGTTTATTAAATCTTCCGTCGAGCCAATGGGTCCAATGTCATCGCGACTAGCCAATTCCAGTAGCTTTTCGTTCAATGACACATGCTTATTAATAGCTTCAATAAGATCAGGATATCGGTCGCTAAAGTGGCTGTAGAACTCGCTGTCTGTCTTTAAATTGTACACAAACACGCCGCCAATAGCCCCTGGAATGCCCAACATAATGGCCGTCGTGTACCAAAAGTACCGAGCAAAAGGAGGTCCCTTGGACTTGACAGTAGCAGTAGATGCTACAGATTCAAATGCTGAAGAGAAGAAGCGAGAAGAGCCACTTTGTAGTACGCGCTGAGCAGCGCCAGAGTGCAGGAATGACCGGATCAGCACCATTGTTGTCACAAAATGGACCAGTACCAAAAGAAGAAAAGTAATTTCTGTGATTGGACAATAATGAAAAATTGTTTCGAGGGTATTTTTTGCCAATCAGTGTCGTATTGCAAAGATCGACAACATGGACGTAATTGTCTCGTACATCTCGAGCGCGTATGTGACTGGTTTCGTCATTTTGCTGGTGGGTGTGATATTACCGATAGTCTACATGGTACTACAGAACAAAAAGGCGTTCAAGGCGGTGCGACGAGACTGAAATTGCAATAAAAAAGTGGTGGCAAGAAGCAGAAAATCAAGACACAGAAGATTGCACCTTTGATAAGGAATACAACCCGATAGAGGGAAAGAGGACAATTTTGACAATAAGTGAGCTATTTCTAGAAAATTTATCAACTTCGATAACATTCTTTAGGGGGGTATGGTATTTTTCGATTATATACAGTATGTCATGTCTGTGTAATTGATAAGACCCCTGATTAGGAATGAATCAATACTACCAGAACACTTCCCCATCTACGGGATCTTCTTCTCCATGATAGCGTTGCCCGCCTCGTCCTTGCCATGAATCTCAATGTGTTTTACCTTGGGCATGCCCCACGACGTAGTCGAGTGCACAAAAACACGTTCAAGTAGGCAGCAATCCTGGCCATTGATACAGCCACGACCCACAGGCTTTCCGCCTACGATAGACAAGTAGATGACACGGTCCTTAAGCGACGTGAGCGTCACCTCGTACTCACCGGGGTGACCCTCACGCGGTTTGACGATCGCTCCGTACGCTGTATTGCGTTCAATCAAATTGAGTTCTTCACGTGGAGCACCTTCCTGCTCAAACATGATCCAATACACGTCCAATGGGTTTTCAGGGTCGAGTGTTCCGTCTTCTAACAGACGTGCGGCGTAGACGACTACATTCTTGTTCTTATTACGATAGACAACAAAAGCGACGTTCGGATTGTGCTTGTCAGCAATAAATGGGACCGGGTTGTTTTCAACTTTGGAAAAATCAAGTGTCATGATTAGAACGTTACAATTGAGTGTTTACTACTGCTTGCGATGGACACGAGGAGTCGGGAAATGAGCAGCTCCAGGTAGATATTCTTAAAAGAGTCATGCATATTGTCTCTTGCTTTTTGTATGCAATAATCGTCCGATTGTGACGCGGAGAAAGATACCGGTACCCATGTCCTGCCACCGGTAGTACACCAAATATGACGTCTGTCACACCATTTCCACCGCAAACTTAGTGCGCACTTAACACTTGGAAAAAAATGGCGGGAACACTTGGATTGTATCAACATCTTCCATCATGTTGTGGCCCCGTGAGGAATTCCACGCTGCGTATGGACAGATTAAGTACGATGCGTTGCATTCTGGTGGTAGCTGTAGTATCCTAGTCCTTGTAGCCCTAGATGTGGATGCTCTATGTGCCGCTGAGATTCTCACACGTCTGCTACGTGCTGACATGTTGAGCTATTCGCTACTGGCAGTGCGTGGGTATGAAGACGTGCTGCAGGCTCGTGAGACACGCATCCGCAGCGCTGATGGGGCACTTCGAGACAATAGGGAACTACGCTCCGTCATCATGCTGAACTGTGGTGCAATCGTTAATGTAATGAAGTTGCTGGCGTTGCCTGCGCATGTTAAATGTTACGTCCTGGACAGCCATCGTCCTATTCATTTGACTAATATATACGATGAACACCAGCAGATTGTCGTGTTTGATGATGGTGCATTGACATTAGAGGAATATCCAGTGTTTGGACCGGATTTGCAAGTCGAAGACTTTGAAGAGGAAGAAGAAGAAGAAGAAGAAGAAGAAGAAGAAGAAGAGGAGGAGAGTGAAGATGAGGTAGAAGTGGATTTTGGTGTGCAAGACACGGAAGATGAAGAGATGGACAAGGAGAAGGATGAGATGAATAAAAGAAAAAGAGATGATGAAATGGAGCATAAAAACGATAATGAAGAGATAGAGAGGAGTCTAAAGAGGAAAATGAAGGAGAAGAAGAAGGAGACAGATGATATAGGTGGTATGACTGTAGATGAGCCAGTTGAGGAGAGCATGATGCTCACCAAGCGACGACGTCGGGAGGAGATCTTACGGTATTATAGAGGATCGTTTCAAGGAGCACCAGCAGCTACAGTAGCGTTTGAATTGGCACAACAAGTCAATAGTTCACAGCGTGATTTACTGTGGTTTGCTATCATTGGACTGACCAAGCAATTTATCATGGAGGAGATTGATGCTGATAATTACAACCTCATGGTCACTCGGTTCCAGGATGAAGTCCTGGCGATAGATGCACCTACGCCATTGAGCGGCTCTGGAGCTAATGGTGACGAAGAACGACACCCGGGCTATTGTGACGGCAAGATCAGCTTTGAGGAGGAATATCGCTTCATGTGCTACCGGCACTGGTCACTGTACGAAGCCATGTATTACTCGGATTACGTGGCTTCAAAGCTTGGACTCTATCACGATCAAGCACGCCGTGTAGGTGCGCGAATTGCTGTGGGAAATAGTGGCAATAGCGTGGGAGACACGGCACTGCACATTTTTCTCGCACGCATGGGATTTTCACTGAGGCAGAGTCAGCAAAAGTTTTCGTACATGCCTCTAGAGATGAAGCAAAAGCTACGCGAGAAGATGCTGGAGATGGCGCCCGAGTTTGGCTTGAATGATCTCTTCTACGGCTCTTTCAAGCGTACCTTTGCGTTTCAGTATCAGCTGTGCGCAGCTGATGCTGTTTACGGACTTCAGGCACTGCTTGAGGCCCCTGAGAGCTACGTAGCAGCAGTATTTGAGGCTGAAACGCATCACCAGCAGCAGGGCACATCGATGAGTCTGTTCTCACTAGATTCTATTATGTCTTCCAATGCCAATAGCAGCGATATAGCAGACGGAAAGGATAAAGACGTTGGAACGACTGAGGAATCTCCCCAAGACGATTTTCGTCAGCAAAACTTCATGTTGGCGCACACAGCCCTCGCATGTCAATCGGTAACATCTAGTAAGCTAATGGAGAGTGGCATCAAAGTATCTATGTCGCTCAAGCAGGCTATCGTTCGTGTTGGACTTTCAATCATGGAGCGGAAGCTGCTAGTTCGTGTGAAGCACTTTCGCTACGTGTGCTTGAATGTACCCGAGCGTGAGCAGGAGCTCTTTGCAAATGCCAGCGTTCTTACCCAGCTAGCTCTCTTCTTGCTCAATGTGCACCGTGCGAGTGGCAAATGGGGTGGTCCCAATGCCCCGGCCCGAAGAAAACCACAGGATGACGATGGTGACGAAGGCGATGCAGAGGAAGAAGCACCTGTGACGAACAAATCGATTGTGCCGCTGGTGCTCATAACGCGCAACCCGGCACAGAACTGTTTTCTAGTTATTGGACTAACCTGTCCATCTACACCGGGCGAGATTCACCGAAAGTAGGTCTGAGTTTGGTATCATGTCATTGCTGTTCGTTGACTGATTGTGTTGTTTGTAGCACGCTAGGAACGGCATTTAAGCTGGCTGCTGGCGAGACTGGAGCAAACTTCCGACAGGATGGCTTTGCGAGTGCTGTGATGGAGATTCAGATCGACGAGATCCAGTACTTTGTTGAGCAACTACACAACGTGCTTGATGCGTGAGCTTGATGTCGCGGTAAGCAAGCCAACTGACAATCGATGATACAATAGATGGAGTGCATGCATAGATATTCGTCTTCTTCTTGTTATTTCAGGCGTCGCATATGAAGATGATCTTTCGGACAGCGTAGAAGGAGCAGCACCTTTGGCCGGAGTATTTACATGTGGCCTGACGTGCTTATCCTACGGCGTTTCTTGTGAATCTCGCACCCATCGGTCAGCTGATTCAGTAAAGCCTTGGACAGTTCCGCTCGAGAAGTCGAAGCGAAACAGTGCCCGCTGGTACCCAATATCACCTATTGTAGCACACTCTTCATCAGATCAGAGGTCGCGTTGAACACGTTCTTATGTGACACTGAACCCCCGCCTCATCCCGTTCGAGCCTGAGCCTCCCTTGAGCTCTTTTTGGAGCCGAGACAAGGTCGCCGTCGATCAGCTTTGAACTTGCCGGCACTCACGTAATGTGAGGACAATTCATGGTAGCCATTAATTGGAAAGAGGTCAATCGAATGATATGAACAGCTCATGCAGAAGTTATGGTCGATCATATTTAGGGGAATCAATTCAAGCACTCAAATGATCAAAAGGTAAAGAGTATTGGGAGCTGCGGTGCTACAACAACTTCAACTTGCTTGCTTTGACTCAGCTAAGTTTTCGCTCCCGCACAAGTGGCACGTAGCAGACACCAAAAAGTCGACGTTGCAAATAATTTTTTCCGTGCCGCGTGATTTCCACAAAGACTTGACCACCACGAGCTTCATCCAGCGGAATTACAAGGCGACCACCCTCCGCAAGCTGCTCCATGAGAGCTTGAGGAGGAACTTCTGCAGCAGCACCTACATGAATGTAATGGAATGGTGCTTCATTTGGTAATCCATCCCAGCCGTTATGGCATCGGATCAATACAATGCCTCGATCAACCAAGTCGCCATCTGCCATTTGAAGGTTCTTCTTGGCAAACTGGACAAGTCCAGGAACAATTTCCAAACCAAATACATGACCACCTTTATCTTCCACCATCCGACCCAAGCATGCTGTAAGATATCCAGAACCACATCCCACATCTAAAATCTTCGGATTGTTCACATCCTTGATTGCAAGGTAGCCCAACTCCATTGCATGAGCATGCATGTGCGGCGCAGAGATGGTCTGGTTGTAGCCGATGGGGTGAGGAACGTCTTGGTAAGCTTGGAGGACACCAACATGTCCTCCATCGGGAGTTTCAATTTGTGCCAGATACTTAGCACGGTCCGTTCGCACCATCGCATTAAACACAGCGTCCGAACTGATTACGCCTGTGCGTCTCAAGTGCTTGATCAAGCCTTCATTGCTTGACGGGTTGCACGGCCAAAACGACATGTCATGCGAGCGTGTACAGAATGATAGTCTGCGCGCGATCAAAGTATTGCTGAACCACAGCGTCGTGATATACGTGCCGCAATCTTCAGGTTTCACGCGAAATGCAGAATGGTGCAAAATGCTCTGGCAAAAAGCTTGATCTGGCAGTTGGTTATCGCAAAAAGTATCTCAGCCACCATCGCCCTTCCCAGTCGGGGACGGACAGGAAGCAAATCGTTTAACGGTACTCGTAAACATAAAGCCGTGTTTTGCACTTGTGCTAGCACTTTGCGGTGCCATGTAGCGCTTGTTTCGTTAAGAAATAACAAAAAGAGATTCATGAGCTTCTTGGCAGTTGGCCTCTTCGTCGGATCGCTCTGCAGACATTCTTTCATAGCTCCAAACAATTTGTCGATAATTGCACTTGATCATGATAGCGATATAGTTAGTGAAGCAGCAGAAGATGATGGAGTAGTGCTGAAACTGATCTCGTTTGCTTCAGCTGCAAATTATCAACATTCGCTAGCATGCGTAACTTGCTCATGAAGTGAGGGTGCCACATTCATCGTCGACGACTTGTTTTCTTCACATTTCAATTGTTCCTCTTGTGCCTCAACGGCCAGCACGACATTGGCAACCGAAAAATGCATTTGCCGAAGCCCAAATGCACGTCTCCAGTTGCCACACAAATGTTCGCTTTCGTTGAACAGCTTCTGGAAGTTTCACTGCGTACGCGTGGTGACTTTCCGTTCATGCATCCATCTAGTATGGAAGCAATTGTTGGGCCAAACGCTCACTGATCTCGAAAACGCCGACACCATGTTCATCCAGATGCTGGACGGCATTGCTAATTGTAATAACGATGGCATCGCCACGGAGAAAGAATTCGCTACGGCCTTTGCTGGTCTTAAGTTGCGTTTTACTGCCTCGCCATGCACAGAGAAAAACATCGAACTTGTGCCAGGTGGCTGTCATGTCACGGTGGGATTCCACACACGATCGAAGTGTTGTCGTTTTGCAGAACTTGCACGTTTCGAGAAATGCAGTGCACAGGTGGCTGCGATGGCCCACGGTTTTGCGATGCTATTCCTCCGCCGTAGGTTGTTGCTAATAACGTGGCAGGAACTCAAGATATTTAGTTAGTTCGGCTTGCTTTGAGGAGGTTCTCTCCAACCAAAGAAACGCTTCTCAGATTTTCTCCGTCCTCCTTTGCCCAAGTCCTGATCAGCCCCAGGCAAGCAACAATATCAGGATGATGCAACGAGCTGACCAGCTCCAGTGTCAGTAAGTTCCTTGGCTTCAAATCGATGTGTCATCATGCGTCTCACGACCACTTTCGTGCCGCAGTAGTCTTTGAAAAGATCTCATCATAGTAACTACGATTGAGGATACGATGCTTGTGAAATGTCTCCCTCTCGACATTATTCCATTCACTTGTAGCCTCTTGCTCGTCTAGAGGAAAAACCCGTCAAAGCTTTTCTTTTCGAATTCAAAAGTGGTCCCGCAAAGTGCTCAGTACAATGTCTTTCGTTTTTCCTAGGAGACCATAAATGCGGAAAGGCACTTCGCCGTGTTCAGATACTTCCTCGTCGACCTCATCATCGCTTGAACTCGCGGGCTCACCCAACGGACGCTTCATCAGTCCCATCCGCCAGTCATTCATTCATAGCCTCTATGCTTCTTGATGCTCATTCTGCGCGTTCACTTTGAGCTTTCTCTGATGAGATACAGCAATAACTTACCGCTGAAAAATTACACCAGTAATCGCGATTTCCATCGATAGCGTCAGCCAGCAAGTGATATTACAATGGAAGTCTTTGCACATCGTGCGGTTGGGCTATAAGTCCAACGAGCATGCTGAGTTTGACGTAAACGATAACTGGAGCTCCCCAAGACACTGCCGTTAAGGCAATTATTGCGCCCCTTCACACAATACAGTCACTTTACAATGTTCTCAGCGCTGACATTCCCGCAAATGCTCTGGAGTTAATGGTGAATATACCGTAAAAAGCTCATTAATCTCAAGGGCGGCAGCTATCACTGGCGCCTAGTAGTCGAAGGAGTTGAAACATAGCTACGTCAAAACAAGTACTTCAAGGTACGTACAAGATTTGCAATACACTCGACGTACATGCAGCCTTTAGCATTAGTCCCCTAAATAACTGTAGGTACGTTCAAAATGAATGTCATGTGACAAGTCCAGCGCTTTCCATGAGGAAGACGTCGTTAGTAGCTCGTTCGGAACCGTCTTGAACTCGTTGTAGCACATTTCCAGCGTATGCAGCGCCGTCAAGTTCACGAACAGTTTCCGTAGATTACTGACACATTGTTATGAGCTAGATGACCGGACAATGCACAACGTGTCAAGGTTAGCATCTTCCATATAATCTGTCCATTGAAAAAGTATGCACAGCGACTCGAGCTTTGGCAAGTACACCAAAGCTTGCGATTCGATTGTACAGATAGTGCTTTAACACAAGGCACTTAGCAGCAAACAGTCATTAGCAAGACCTGTGTGACAACACAAATGAAGAAATACCTGTTAAATGTAAGCTAAAAAAAAGCTAATTTACTGACGGTCCAAATGTGTTCGTGCACCTAATCAACCAAGAAAACAACACAAAATTAGCAAAAATATAGTACACTTCGTGCAGTATCTAAAGCTTCGAATCTAGTGCGTACATGACGCTCTCCAGATATGGTACATTGTCAAAAGACGGTGCACTTAGCTCCGTCAAAGAATTGTTTAAATATATCTACAAGTTAATAAACAGGACCTTCATACCCTTATAAGCAGCAGAGAAGTAGAGCAGTCTTTAACTAACATGGATTAGCATTTATGTGCAGCCTGGAAAAGCGAGACGAAGACGTTACTCAATGAATTGTTCTGCAAGTTTAAAGTCGTCTCTTGAGCCAGAGAAGACGCTAATACCGTCGTTACGAGCGTATCAGCACAGTAATAACGAAAGAGAAGTGTTGAAGTGTCTTTGCTTGTCGTAATAATCGTAAGTTGCTGCCCTGAGAGCTTGAGACTATCGAACGATTATACAAAAGAATATGAATAATTAAAAAATGAAGATTTAAAAGTGAGATTGCAGCTACAAGTTATAAAAACGATATCAATAGACAGATAAGACAGTGCAGAAGTTGATGCCGTGTCGAGACGTACCATATGATGTTTTGTATTGTCACTATGAGCGCTAAAAGAGCGCGCGCAAGACGCTTCATTGTCAATGGAGCATGTTGAACATATGGATAGTTTTGTAATTATTATAAAGGTAAATTTTAGGTCTGCTTTCTAAAAGCATGAGCTTATTTACTAGCAAATTAGAGCAATTAGTCTCTCAATTTATATGACTATATAATAATTATTAGTATACTTGAAGCCACTGCATTTCTCCATGTTCCTCCAAGCACGAAAGACGCAGACGCAATTTCACGGGTATTCGGTACAAACAATAATGATTTTATTATTATTATTATTATTATTACGGATTAAAAAAACTGCTTTATATTCTTACAAGAAGACGCTCTGTTTCGAAAATATTATCACTATTAGGTCGAGTTCAGCCCATTTGTAGATACTTTAGTAGCAGTCGGAACGGCGCAATACTTTGGTATTGTAGGTAATGGACGACAATATGTGTACGAGATGTTGCCAGAAGGAGGTTTAACACCCGTGAGAAAAGAAGTGGTTTATTGGTAAAATTATCATAAAAAACGAGAATTGATCCAATGATGCTGTTATACTACAGATTCGAGCTTTTGATACACCCCAGGGCGTATACGACTGTGCGTGGAGTGAGAACCATGGACAAGAGCTAGTGACCTCTTGTGCCGATGGATCCGTGAAGCTTTGGCATTTGGAGACACGAGACCAGTTTCCAATTCAAAACTACCATGAACACAAGCACGAAGTGTCCGGAGTCAACTGGAATCTGGTTGCAAAAGATTCGTTCGCTTCGGCGTCGTGGGACGGCAGTATCAAGATCTGGAAGCCAGAGGTGCCCCATTCAGTGTTGACACTTAGTGAACACTCTAGTGCTGTGTACAATGCAGTGTGGAGCACGCAAGATAACTCACTTGTCGCTTCGTGTTCGGGAGATGGCACAGTGAAGATCTGGGACCTCAATAGCGGACGTGCTATCACTACCATTGCTGCACATGGCAATGAAGTGCTTGCTTTAGACTGGAACAAGTACAACCAATTTGAAGTAGTGTCTGGATCGACCGACTGTTCTATCAAAGTTTGGGTACGTGACAAGCTCGCCTCTTGGAAACTCACAATTATATCTCATGACAAACCTCTTTCTATCAAAGGACATTCGAAACTTGGCACGTGAAGTGCGGATGTTTCCAGGACATAATTATGCCGTGAAAAAGATCAAGTGCTCGCCTCATGATCCAGACGTGATCGCATCGGTGTCGTATGACATGTCGGTTGGAATCTGGAATACCAAACCACCATATCCGAGACTTCAGAACGCGCAACACCACAGTGAATTCGTCTTTGGCTTTGACTTTAGCCTCTTTGTAGATGGTCTAGTGGCTTCATGTTCGTGGGATCGACAAGCAGTCGTGTGGAACTACTTTGGTGGCCCACCGTCGTCGCCGTGTTAAGTTCGTAGTTAGATCGTAAAGTTCGTTTGCGCGATCGAACGCATTATTTTCGACGTTTATGAGGACAAGATGGAGACACCTAAGAAAACAGGCTTTTGGACGCAGCACGTAGATGCAAGTAGTGGGGTACACCTTTGCATTAGTGTGAAATGCTTTGTTTGATCTCCTAGTCATTTTATGAGGCTAATAAGTACGTGTACTTCTCTTGACAGCGGACGTATTATTTCAACATGGCACTGGGACGAAGCTACTGGAAATTACCACCAGAAGTGCAGGCTCAAGTAGAGAAACCAGCACTAGATGTACTGCGTGATTGGGATCCAGAAACAGCTGAACGGAAATATGGAGTTGCTAATGAACCACCAACTGCTGGAGACGACGAGGAGATTCGTCGAAAGCGTGAAGTGGCATTAGCGAAATCCCGAATGGAAACTATTGAGACCCAAGTCGCTGCATCAACAAAGCTTTCACTGGAGGAGAGAATGACGTTAGCGACTTATAAGAGAAAAGCAGTGGAGGTGCAAAGTAGCACTAGTAATAACCGACTTCCTGCTTCTGAGAGTTCCAATGAGTACTTGGAATTGGTCCGTCAATTACAGCAGAATGACAATGGTGAGGAAGGAGCTGGTGGCAAGTGGCTTGTGAGGTGAAGATTAAAAAGAACAACACACGAATACTTTATTTGAGAGCATTCACTTGATGTGTAGCTGCTCACTAGTTTTTTTCCTGCAACGTTTCTCTCGAGTCTTAAATTTTTTTCGTCAAGTGCCGTTTCTGCAATGAATACGTAGAAACAATACATTGTGTGCAACTGTCAATACACTTGGAGTTGCAGTATTGCTGGAAATACATGCATCTACCCGTTTGTAAGCTTTGTATCGGTCCTGGAAAGAAATAGACTTTTCGTCATGTGCCGACAATTTCTTGGGCTTTAAATCGAAGAGCTCCTGAATAAACGGCATCTTGGCCAGCACGCACTTCCACACGACGAGCCAGCTGATAGTCAAAGTAAATAGAACGATGCATACCGCTCCAGACACGTAGGCACCTGTTACCACCAGCCCCTGTAGCCCCATTCCACCAAAATCGTAATAATTTCTGAAGGAATACGAACTTACTGTGTCACTAAATTCGCAAAAGTTCATGTGCGACGTGTGAGAATGAGCCTTCCCAAATTTATCGAAATCTAATTTGTCAGAATGCCAAGCCTGATCACAATCGTAAACCGCGATCGTAAGATAACCGACGGACAAGCGCCATCATGATTGACTTTTTCGCAATTATTATCGAAAAGTGGGGTGTTTACACGTCATTCCGACGAACATGGCGTACGGTGAAAGTATACATAGACATCTATCTATAGCGCTTCACAAGGTATGAGCCAACGTTCCGACAGATAGGAGCACAAATTCTACGCTGATAGTATATATGTAGGCATCCATAATGTGGTAGAGTGGCGATCAATTTTTTCTATGTAATCCCACGTCTCCACTGGCGCTAGACAACCGAGTATCGGAGGGGGTACTTCGTTTCCGTGCAGCCTATCTTTCTCACCTTGTGTAGGGCGGGTATCAATCGGTGGACTCAAGTCGATGCTGAATTTGACCCTATTGAAGATTGGGGGGGGTGATTGCGTGGAAATTTTCACGCGATCAAGGGTTACCAGGGTGCTCTACTAGAGTCACCCTGATCGATCATGAGACCGCCTTGTCCAAATGTAGGACTTAATTCACTTGACCTTCTGACCACTTGAGCCATCTTGTGATCTTGTGCCTTGTCCTTTACGTTGTGCTGGGTCCAATCGCAGGGTGGTTTGCTGTGAAAGGTCTTGTAATCCCTGTCCAAAAAATAGGGATTTGTAGAGAAATGCCAGGAGAATTAAGGTTTCTTAAGAATATTGTAAAAGAAGCAAAGAAATCCAGGTCACTCACTCCCTCGAGGAAATTACCATAATTAGGCCTCGCAAGGTCCCATGGTTCAACCGAGGTACAAGAGTACTGGTCACCAAGAGAAACATCACCAAGGGGTCTTGGGTACAGGTCATCGAGAAGGACAGGGGAACAGGTCACCAAGGGGTCAAGGGTACAGGTTACCGAGTGTAATGGGGCTAGAACGTACCGTCACTAGCTCACACGTGCGCTTGAGAAAGACTTAAGCCCAAGTAACAGGTATTCAGTAAATTTATATATTTGTTTTCCTTCATACTACTTACGAAGAATTAAATCATAATAAATACGACAGTGTTCCTGCCTTTCGGAAACCACACATTTTCAGATTGATTTATCATTGGTCCATATTGGGACTTTAGGCCCCAATAATAAACCAATAATAAATTGCCACGCCGTGCCCGCTATTCGGGCACAGCACCTGCCTACATATGTAATTGTTTATCTATGTTAATGCTATGTATGTAATGTGGCCCATTACATCACCCCCTTCTCAAAACAGCACTCACTAACCGTGAGTGCTCAACTGTCGAAACCCCGAACTTCACAAACGAACAAGCGAGGTCCGAAAACACGTCACGCAATACTGCAGCACTCCCAAGCACCATCAGCGGGAGTGCAGCTACCAGCATCATGGCGCAACATCGGATCGTACAAATTTTACCTAAAATGAATTAAGCCCGTCAAAATACGTTACTCATACCTTAGCCACTGTATGACTTGTTCGGAGCTCGCGCTCCAGACTCACTGGACACGATGCGGGACTACTTCCGCCGATTTCGAAATTGCGTGGAAAGAGTCTGGATGGAATCGGATACGAGGCCCTGCAACGTTCTTGGTGCGCCTTCATCCGACGTTGGAATCGGATGCTCGAGGATGGTTGCAGCTTCCAACTGTGGCTCGCCAATCAAGAGGAACTTCGCGCCGATCACTCCATCAGCGCGCAGTCCCATCAAACTTCGGAGAGTCCATCCGAATGGTCCTTAGCTGATTAGACCGGGCATAGAGAGTCTCAACAGCTCTGTTGAGCGCCTCCTTTTGAGCTTGCTCACGCAAAAGCTCATCTTAAGTCTTACTGATGGACTCAACTGCTGTTTGGCTGTTTACCTCGGACGCATTTCTACGCTGTCCGAGCACAAACGCCTCGTATTGCTCCAATTGAGCAACATGTTGCTGAGGAGGACAATTAAAAAGATTTTCCAGGGATTGTTTACCAATTAAATGCTCCAAATGCTCAGTTAACTCCCTATGATGTTGAGAGAAGTAGGGAAAATACCTACAATACATATTGAGGTACATCAGTAGCCACACGCACGCTCAGAGAGACGGGTGCCGGATTCAGGGGTCCGTAAGTCGATCGGCCTTCTCATCGTGCTCGACGCGCCGATGACATCGGACGCGGTTGCGATGCCGTCTGTACACAACCAAGCACCTGGCGCTCCAGAACCCTTACCCGTTCTAGCAGTTCACGGTTCGACTTCCGGGTCTCACTCGCAGTCTTCTCCGCCTGAACAGTACGCTCACTGGCAGCCTCAGCATTCAGCTTAGCATTGGCAGCTTTTCTCACAGCCTGATCAACATCGTACTGGGTAACCAGGACGCCAGTATTACCTTCGTGGGGGCCTACCTCCGCTTATTGATGCGGAGGTACAGGTGCGCTGGATTTAGACCGCATTATGGGTCACGAGGGACCTTTTCAAGCAGTACAACAATCGTCCCATGAGAAGCGCGTGGTTTCATCCGCGCGCAGGTACCGATTACGTTGGATTGGATATCCTCCCGAGCAGGATACATGGGAACCGCGATCCTTTCTCTTTCGTGACGTTCCAGATGTTCTTCAGTCGTACGAGACCATGGAGTCGGGCTATTCCGACGCGAGCGAGAAAGCGAATGCTCTCGTGACAAACGAGAGCGGTGAGGTCACCCACGCCGTTGAGAACAAAACGATGCCGTGAACGAGAACGTCGTGGTGAATACATTTCACCACGACTACGAGGCGAGAAATGTGCAGCAGGACGGGCAGGCGAACGTGTCGCTACCCTGCGCTAATTATTCAGCGAAGATTTACTCCGCTGTTGCGAGTGGGGCTGCCAGCGAGGTGCACCACGAATAATGCGTTTCTCTGTTCTCTCAGGCTTCGCTCATATCTCGCAATCCAACATCGTTCTCTGAGTGGACACTCAGCGATGTGTCGTCGCCATTTGTCATGAGGTGGGCGTATCGTCGAGTCACAAGATTGGCATCCTTCAATGACATGAACGAAGCAGAGGCGATCTTCATTTCAAGCATTCTCATACACCCTTTCGCGTAGCCATCGGAGCCAAGCCGTGAAGCGTAGCCGGGCGATATTCCTTTAGCCGTCCGACATAGAATGTCGTGTGGAGTCGCAATGATGATGGAACATCGAGTGTATAAGCGTCGCCAATTGCCTTCAGAACCTTGAATGGATCGATGAAGCGTGGAGCGAGTTTACTCACGCCCAGGTTATTGACCGCTGAATCCCTTAGACCTCAGTCAATAATAATACACGATCACCTTTTGCCAACTTGCTCATAATCTTTCTGGCATGTTTGTCATCGTTCTCTTTCTGTTGGTCTACCGCAGACTATAGTGCGTCGCGTACAAAACGGGTTATGGCTTGACGTTGGAGTATAAAGTACGACGCAGCCATGTCATTAATTGGTCGCGCCGACTTAATCGAAGCGTAGCTGGCAGTAGGCGAACGCTTACCCAAAACGAATCAATCAATGTCTGCGCAGTCCATCGAGATAATGGGGACGCCACGTCTCGTGGCGTCAAAGCAGCAGTCTTTGCCTTGGATCGGATTACTAAATTCGCGCTCGAAGTACCGTGATCTGCACTCGACCCTTGTTTATCACCTTTATCCCCCCCGAGTGGAGCCACTAGGTGTCGTGGGTCTCCTCATGACAAGGAAAGTAGAAACACGAGGGTGACAAGCCAAATTCACAAAAAAATGGCGTCAACCCTGTTGACGCGTTTACGGCGTTGTTGAGTGCAAACTCATTAGCAAGTGGTAACAATAAAGCTCAACTTGTGAATGACGTAGCATGACTTTAAAGAACGTCTCCGAGGACCCGGTTTACGCTCTCGGTTTGCCCATCCGTTTCCGGATGGGCCGCTGTCGACATCTGTAGTTTTGTCCCTTGAAGCTCGAACAGTGACGTCCCAAATGCGGACGTAAATCGTGGATCGCTTTTCGCAACAATAGTTCTGGCAGGCTCAGATGACGGAACACCGCGTCAATAAAGTGCGCCGCGATATCTGCCGGGTGATCTTAGCGTGAACAGGCACTAGATGTGTCATCTTGCTGAATCGAGCACACATAAACCAAGATGCCCGTTTGAGCTTGACTATCGGGCGCGAGCCCGAAGGTGAAGTCCATCAAAACTGATCTCCAAGACTCGGCTGCAATCGGCAACGGTCGCAAGGGAGGTCTGCTACGATGGAGATGGCTTCACACGCTGGCATATTTCGCACATTCGGATCCAACTGCGTACATACTTGTGCATGTGGGGCCAGAAGAAGTCTCGAGACACAGCCGCGAAAATCTTTTCGCGGCCTAAATGACCGCCAGCAGGGGCATCGTGATACTCGTGGATGATTCTTGCACGCAAATCTATGTTGTTGGCGATCACCGTGCGAGAGGCATCGAATTGATCGATGCTATACACAAAGCAAATCTC